GGGAGCGCCACCACACTCCCAAGCGGTGCACTATAGCAGTGCGCCACCGGGCCGGCCCCAAAAGCTTAGGTAGTTTTAATGCTATGTTTATATGAACCAAAACATATACCTTAGTAAAATTATAATTATTAGAAAAAGGAGGGCCAGCCTGTGGCTCAGTTGGGAGAGCATGGTGCTAATAACACCAAGGCCACAGGTTCAGATCCCTATGTAGGGGTGGCCAGTTAGCTCACTTGGGAGAGCATGGTGCTGACAACACCAAGTCGAGGGTTAAAATCCCCTTACCAGTCATCTTCTAAAAAAAATTTTTTAAATAAAAAAAATAAAAAAGAAAAAGGAAAAGATATTCCTTAATATTTTAATAAATGTGTTATTTTTTGGCAATCTGAGTTTGATTTCTTTTTTTAGAAATACATTAAATCTTTTTTCCTCCTTTATTTTCTTTCCCCTTCCCCCATTGATAAAGTACAGATTCTTGCCTTCTATTTCATTTGTTATTCTTAAGATTAATGATGTATTTGATCTGCAGAAATACCGTGAAAATAATGTTAGACTGACTTCTTTTCCAAGGTGTGATTTCATATCAAGACTTGGTGAAATGTTTCACATTGATCATCCAGAGTCTACAACGTGGTGATGTACAGCCATGGGTAAGTTTAACAGTTTGTGTTAGACTGTTTTCTCAGCAGCACAGCATGATGGTTAAGGACATGGGATCTAGAGCAGACTGCCTGTGTTTTAGTTCTAGTTCTGCTACTCTCTAGCTGTGTAAACTTCAATAGGTTCCTTTACTTTTTCTGTGCTCCAGTGTCCTTATCTGTAAAGCAGAGGTAGGAATAATATTTACCTCATACTGTTGTTTCAGGATTAACTAATTTAATTCATATATAGCACCTAATGCCTAGCTCATAGTTACGTGCTCAGTATGTATAAGCTACTGATGCTGTCATATTCAACTTTTGCTATGAATGAGTATTCTCATGTACTACTTGTGAGACTACAAATTGGGACACTCTTTCTAAAAAATAATTTTGATAATGTATTGAGATCTTCAAGATGTGTCATTCCCTTTGAACCAATAGTTCTTTTGTAAGATTCACCCTAAGCTCATACACAGAAATACATATCAAGATTTTATGTATCAGAATAGTCATCACAGCCCCATTTATGGTAGCAAAAAATTGTAAATGACCTAAGTTTCCCTTATTAATGGAATGGCCAAGTAAATAACGATATAGCCACATGCCGGCACATGTGACAGTTGCTAAAAAATGATGCTGACAAATGATGTGGAGAAATGCTTACAATGTTCAGTAAAAAGAAAGGGGTATACTGAATTGTATAAAAATGTAAATTTTTAGGGCCAGCCCGTGGCTCACTCGGGAGAGTGTAGTGCTGATAACACCAAGACCACGGGTTCGGATCCCTGTATAGGGATGGCCAGTTAGTTCACTTTGGAGAGTGTGGTGCTGACAACACCAAGTCAAGGGTTAAGATCCCCTGACCGGTCATCTTTAAAAAAAGAAAGTAAATTTTGGAGAGAAAAATCTAGAAACAAATACGTTAAATTCTTAACAGCAATCACCTCTGCTATAGAAAGGGTTACCAGTGACCTTTTCCAACTGCATTATACATTTCTGTGCTTTACAAATTTTCCATAATGAATTTGTGCTACTTTTATAATAAAAGTTATGTAAAAAATCAGAAATGAAAAGATTCCTCATTTAATAGAAATTATTTTAAATAATGTGGCTGCCAATTCATGACTACGAAAGTTAGAAACTTTTAGACAACTGGTCTTAAAAATAGAACTTTCAAGGGCCAGCCTGTGGCTCACTCAGGAGAGTGTGATGCTGATAACACCAAGGCCATGGGTTCAGATCCTATATAGGGATGGCCAGTTCACTCACTGGCTGAGCGTGGTGCTGACAACACCAAGCCAAGGGTCAAGATCCCCTTACCAGTCACCTTTATTTTAAAAAAAGAAAAAATAGAACTTTCAGAAAGAATATACCTAAGGATACTAGAGAGGTGGGGGAAGAGAGAGGGATTGGGGTGGGATTGGTCGGGTAAGGGGCATAAAGAATAATTATGATTTGTGATAATGAATGTGCTAATAATAAATAAATAATCTATTAATTAAAAAAAAGTTAGAAACTTTCATAGGTATGAACAAAGGTATGCTTCAGAGCAAAGGCATGCCAGCTCTGCCTAATTAGACATTAGTGATTCTAGGCATTTTAGTGTTGGTCACTGAATTTTTCTCTTGAGAGTTTCTGTTTGTGAGATGTTTCCAAGTATAGTTGTGCCACGTACAATGAGTGCAGATGAAGTGAAATTAGTTATTAAAAAAAGGATAATACAAAAGATTATGATGAAAGTTAAGGATAATAGAAAGTAGTAGGAAAAGTTCACAGCTCTTTTTAATTTGCAAATTATATTAGTATGTTGGATATTGTAGTTAGTAAAGAGTTCTTTATGATATGCATGGACTATTGAGGGCGGGTTTTTTTTCCTGCAGCAGCAGATTTTTGGTGTAGATGAAGATGTTCAGTTTTGGAAAAGATGCCCAATAGCTCTTAAATCAGCCAGGAAGGGAAAATAATTTCTAGTCATAAAGCTTCAGAGGACCAATTCTGACTTCTCTTTGGTGACATCGTATCTAGGGATAAGTTTAAACCCTTCTTAGTTGCTTTAGACTTAACAAATGAAGTAGGAATGGCATTTTAGAAACTGACATGTTTGTGACTTGGGGGCTTCTATTCAAGCAATTTATAGTGTCAGGAGACTAAAAATACAAGCTTATGATTTTTAGTTTGTAGCTAATGCAATTTGCTTTTCTTTTGCTTATTGAATTTTTTTACGTTTT